AGAGAGAGAGAGAGAGCTGCTGGGATAGCAGAGTACAGCCTCACTCACTGCGCCCGCAGGCCGACTGGCCGGGCTGGCCTAGGAATCGCCGATGTCAAAACACCACGGCGACAGGATGGTCCGCGGACGTGCCCGCCGGTGCCCGCCGCCGGCACCGGAACGGGTTCCCGAGCGAGCGGAGCGGAGGATGGCACCGCGGCCGGCAGCGGGTCAGGAAGTAAACGCGTCAGCGTCCGCGCTAAAAGCCCTCACCACACAGGCGGGAGAAAATCATTTAAAGCTTTCAAATAAGGAAACGCCATTCCAATATGCTTCGGTGCCTGCGATACATGACAAACTTCACGTCCCCTCATCAATGTCTTGACTTGACTAACCACGAGGCCTCTGTTGGCCCTACTGTGACGTTATGGAAACTTCAAGTCATATTAGCATTAGCCCTTTGTACGCTAGAAAAATAACTATAGTTCTACTTTTTAAAAATGCCCTTGTTTTTTTTCTCATAATTTTTTTCAACGTATACGCGTTTGTTTTTGTCGCCACACGGCGCCGCGGGCGCTCGTCCTTTACCTTGCAGCCGATTCCGCCGCACGACAAAAGCGACGCGTTTCCGGTCGTCAAATCATCGTGCGAATGGCCATCGAGTCGTCATGTCGCCGACAACGAGCGGCACGAGCAGCACGAGCGACAGCGAGCGAGCGCCGCTATCCTCGCCTTGCCCGCTCCGTTACGCGCCCTGCGGCCGAGTTGCATCACGGTTTTAACTCGTCCATTCGCCTTTTAAATGTTTATAACTGAGATTACAAACTATTAAAGGGGCAGCTGATATGCGAAAGTGCCGTTTTCGCTCCGTAAAGAGGCGTCATTGGACTGTAAACACGCATGTGCTGACGAGTGAGCCAGTCGGTACAGATTTCTAAGTGCCCCGCTCGTTGTCAATACCAAACGAAGTGTCTATTAATACACTGTAATATTGCTGTTAAAAAAATACCACAATAGGTTCAGAAAATATTCTCAAGTTTTAATCCTTGACAAACTTACACGTGCGCAGTCGAAACATCAAAATGACTGAGATCATATAATACCACACACACGCACACCCAAGTTGGGTGACCTAACCCACACAAATTAAAGGACAAGGAGCAATTTTTTTTAAAATCGTTGGATTTTGGCAGTGGCCAGCGAGCAGCGCCGCTACAGGCAGAAGAACGTTTAGTCCCCGCCAGTACTCGCGGTGGGCGCAGCGCAGAGCGACTAGGGTTTACGAGCGGGTCTGTCAGCTGCAGGACAGAGAGAGAGAGAGAGAGAGAGAGAGAGAGAGAGAGAGAGAGAGAGAGAAGGGGGCGGTCTGGGAAATTTATGTATATGTTCACCCCTAACTGGTTGACCAACATCCCCGCAGGCTGGCTGAAGTTTGGCTCCGGGAAGAGGGGGAAGGGGCGAGGGGTATCTAAGAAACTATGGCGACACAGCCGCGGGCAGCGTTATAGTTGGTTATATAGTCCCAAAATCTACCGCCAGGTGCCGGAAAAATAAACAACACAAAGGAACAATGTTGTTAAAAAAAAGGCACGAGACGCGAGACCAATCGCATTTTCCAGCCACTTATGCCGTCGGCACTGCTTCTTCCCGTCGCGGTCCGAGGCATTCCATCATCTCTAATCTGTCGCGGAAGACGCGGCTCGGAACTCCGGGGAGAAGCCTCCTCAGGTAAAGCAAGGTGCTGCTGATTCCAGCACGGAGGTCCATGCTAAACCACTACCTAGACTTCAATGCCTTATCAGAAATCGGGAAAGAGGGGGGGGGAGAGAATATTGCTCTGCGCAGAGACTTACCTCGAGAGAGGGTCCACGAAGAAGGCGACGAAGGCCACAGCGGCCACCACGCAGCACAGGTAGATGGTGGAGATCTCGTAGATCTCCGAGTCTGGCGGCCGCTCCAGGTTGTCGTTGCCGAGGGTGTTGAGGACGCAGAAGTTGGCCCCGCAGAGCGCGAGGTGGCTGTCCGAGGAGTGCGCGGACGCGTTGCCGCCACCGCCGCCGTGACCGCCAGAGGAGAGGACTGCGCGCGAGAAAATGAAATGGGTGGTAAAAACCTCGGGTAAATACTGGGCTCACTGGAAACGGTCGCGCATCTGCCTACAACGGCCTCCTAAACAACAACCTCGCGGAGCGGGCCGTTTAAATAATAAAACCTCAAATAACTAGGTAACGCGCGCTCGGAAAATCCCCCTCGGCAGGGACAAGGCGCGCGGCGCGGCACGCCGGCGCGGGCGCGCTAACGAGCGAATAAGGATGTAAAAAAAAAAAGAATAATGACAATCATTTAATCGCGCGTCGTGACGTCAAACCAGAGCGGCCCACTTCCGGTGCAATGGATGTTCATCATGCACCTTGTTTTTGTAGCGCGCCATACGGCTGCTGCTGCTGCTGTTGTTGTGGCGCGCGATAAAGCATAAAGTGCCAGACAAGAATGTTGCGGTAGGTACAACACCGAGCAATCAATGGACATGATAGCCATGCTCCCATGATGCTTACAAAGTAAACAGTAAAATGTCTTTGGGGAAAAAATTAATAATTGAAAAATAACAC